GAAGGGCTGTGTCATCCTTTTTAGTCGTCAACAATCAGATTGAAGGCAACCTACTAAGGCGCAACTTACTTCACAACATAATCTTGTACCTATTGCAATTTCCAGTGTGTTCTTATGTGGAAATGCCGCAGAAATCGAAGTAGCAGTATCCAGTGTGTTCGGATGTGTACCCTGGAGACACCACAGGCAGCTTAATGCAGGAAAACAAGATATGTTAACCTATTGGCCTTCGATGAGGTGAGTATCTGCCTAGGAGTATAGGGTCAGGGACTCACCCAGCCATGTGATCGTGCCAGGATATTCAGTATTGTAAAGGCGTAGTCGTGGACGGTGTCAGTTTGTTTTAATTTTCACTTTGAATAAATGCTATTTATTTGTGTACCTGAGGGTCTTCGGGGTCACAGGTCCACTTAATATCATGTTATTCCTGGTTCGGTCGCTGATGACCCGCAGGATATGACGTAGTAATTTACAGCTTTAGCCTGAGGTTCATTCGGGGTCACAGGTCTAAGCGACAATTTATCACTCGGCTATTAGAGCCTTTAATTTTTTTGCTCTCACATTTTTTATTGTTTCCTTATTTACCTCTTCTGGGAAGAGGAGCTTTTATACTGTGGAGGGTCCCGTAAGGAATCGCAGAGTTAAGCTTCTATTATAAACCGGAGGGTCCCCCCGAAGGTGGTGAATCGCGGCTTCAAGGATATTAAGTTATGGATGGTCAATCCGTAAATTATTCAGTTCACTATTTGATTTTTATTCACTTCTTTGGTTTGACCCCTTCTAGGAAGGGGAGCTTTTATACCCTGGAGTGCCCCTGGAGTTGGGGATCGCAGAGCTAAGCTAATGTTATAAACCGGTGGATACCCAAAGGTAGTCAACGGTTTCAAAATATTTTGTTATGTGGATGTACAAGCCATAAATTTTATAAGCACCTTCACATTCAACACTTCCACTTATCACAACGCTGTTCATCACTTGTCACGACCACTTGAAAAAGGACTCCAGCAGTTAAGAGGATCCTTTTCCTTAGACCCCACAATTAAGGAGGCCCTTCCTCAGAGACCCACACTTTCAGTGGGTCCCTGCTCGGGCGCCAGTCATCGAGCTCACATCCGTGAGCCCGAAAAAGTTAAAGTTGGGGGCCGCACGGCGGCCCCGAGTTGTCCTTCCTAAAATAAAAGACAATAATTAGTTTTGTACAAGTATATTTACCATCTGCTTCTGCTGTCCCAAACGGAATGAATGCAACATATTTCTTAATACTATGACTTACTGTCTAACCGGCTGAATTAACTGCTGACGCTGCGCTTCCCATAGATTCAATTATGCTAACGTATGTTCGATTATTTTTGCATGAGAGTTCAATTACCCGCACTGGTTATGCGCGTGTTTGGGGAAGTGCGGCGTCAGCACATTCAGACAGGTATGTGTGTTAGCCCCCGTATTAACTTGTATTTTGATCAAACTTGCTTTTTTCTTCTTTTATGATGCCTTTGCGCTCAATTTGGCAATTCTTCCCTTCGCTGTCTACTGATTTGCATTAAAGTTTAATACCTTAAGCGCTTCTGTAATAGTGACTGTATCGCTTTTTGCTGCTAAGTTCACAAGATATCGGGCCGTAATATTTTTTGACAGACTTCCTTTGTCCTTGGGAACACTTTAGGCCAGACTTTTTGCCCGTACGGGCAAGTGAGCCTATTTCGTGGGCCTATTTGAGCCTATTTCGTTCGGTGGCAAACACGAAGGGGGCAACGAGTCTTACTAACCCAGTAACGAAAATGGTCACCGGTGACATCGTCACTAATGAGGATTTAGTGACATCGTCGCGCTTGCTGTGATCCTAAAAGACATATAGCTGACAATGACACTGGTGACAATGTCATGCAGGTGTACTCCTATCAAAGACTTATAAGAGGCAATGTCTTGCAGCGGTCACTTATAAAAAGTCCTTTGCAAGATACTGTCGCTTGGATGTCATTAATCCAACTTATATCTCAATTTGAGGTCAAACAATTTTTCCAAGGTTTGATTTCAAATTGAGTACCATTGAAGGTAAATTTTAAAAATTATTTACCATTTTACATGGCAACGCTATTAATAATTTGAAGAACATTTAGCGGATTTGGCAACGCTGCCAATCATATGTCACAAAAAGTTTAAAACCGCGTATTTTTACGCACGAAGTGAAGAAGTGAACTGCAAAATCTATATTATTTGGGAAAGTATAAACTATTAAAATACTATTAATTTATATATGTAAATACGAAGACTTTTGTGATTGATAAAATTGTGAAATGCATAAAAGCAAAAAATTAAAAGTGAGGTTAGGCAGGTAGTGGATTTGCTGTCTGAACATTGCCAACTGAAACATTGTCAATGGAACCTTCGACATCAACTGCTGCGCCAAACGCTCCTTTGGAAGATTATTTAAGTGAAGAAATTTCATCAGAAACCGATGCAGATGAGGTTTTTGGAGGTTCTTCCGACTTAAATGATGAGCTTGCTGCCTGGGTAGTGGAATTTAATATTACAAACGCAGCTGCCAATCATCTTCTAAAATTTTGAGCAACCACATTGGTGGGCTTCCAAAAGACGTGAGGACTTTAAAATCGACTCCAAAGAACGCGCCAGTAGATAAAATGGGATTAGGGGAATACATACATTACGGACTTAAGGATACATTAACTAATTTTTTTCTAAAAAGTTCTTCATATTCTGGCGAACTCAGCCTGAATATAAATGTTGATGGTCTTCTATGGCAAAAAGTTCGAATTTACAAACTTGGCCCATTTTAATAAATGTTAATGGGACGCCAGACGTAATGGTTGCAAGCGCTTATTGCGGGCAATCTAAGCCTTTGTGTCCAAACACTTATTTAGCGAAGTTCGTAAACGATTTATGCGAATTGATAGATTTATACGATGTTTCCACGGTTCCACGTAGAAAAAGTGCCAACAATTGGGACCAGGCCGGTGAAAACTTCGATATATTTCCGATAAATATTAGAGAAGGCACCGATTCGTTCGTCATTCGCATGGTAATTCGATCTGAATTACCTACAAATGAGGTAATTCGCTCTCAAAATTTTGTATGGCGAATTACGTAATTCGGAAGGTAATTCGCAAGGCGAATGACGAATGGGAGAGCGAACTACGAATAAGAGAGTGAATTAAGAATCGTGGAAATGCCGTATTAGGTTTCAATTTTCAATACAAAATATTTTCTGTAAAATGTCGAGCGTTTATATGCGATGCGCCAGCAAGATCGCACATTATTGGTATAAAAGGATATGAAATGTACCCAAAAAGGGGAATCTGTGAATCACAGAATGATATTTGGACGTGAAGTTCATAATTCCAGAACTGATTCTAACTTTCGATTAAGAATAGATGCCAATCATCATAAACTATTAGAGCCAATAGCCATAGAAAAATTGCCGATAGACATTGTTAAATCATTTCCCTATGATTATATGCATATGGTTTGTCTGGCTGTGATGAAAACATTACTTATAGGTTGGATTAGGCAAAAGAAGGGAATATTTTCATTAAACTCAACCAAAATTTAATTATTAAACGCAAAACTTGTTTTTTTGAGAAACCAAGTGCCCAAAGAATTCGCTAGGCATCCTCGAAGATTATTTAGAAGAGGTCGAAAGATTTAAGGCCACTGAATTCAGAACAATTCTTTTATACACAGGCATTTTCGTACTAGCTGACATTTAAGATTCTGAACGCTATAACCACTTTTTGTTACTAAATTTAGGTATAAGGATTCTACTAAGTACAACGTCGTGTATGGAAAACAACGAATGCGTTAACGTCCTTTTGTCTGAGTTCGTAAAAAATGTAGCTCATCTCTACGATGATACGTTTTTAACCTTCAACTCTCACTGCCTCACGCATTTAGCAAGTGATGGACTTAATTAGAGTTGTTTGGAGTCAATAAGCACTTTCAAGTTTGGTAACTTTTTGTCTAAAATTAAAAGAAATTGCAAAAAGAAAAATCAAATTGCTGTGCAGATTTACAACAGAATGGTACAAGAAAGTATAAGATTATCTAAACCTTCAAACAATAACATAGGTGAAACAGAATTGCATAATGGGAAAATAAAATCAATCAGTACTAAATTTTTTTTCTCTCTATAAAAAGACCTGATAATTTTAACAGTGTTAAAAATAGAATATTTCAAACAATAACTATACATCAAAACGCGGTTTTAGGGAAAGAAGTTTTGAATTTGAAGGATTTCTTCAAAATACCAATCAAGTCATCCAATTTTAATATAAAATGTAGCGACACCTTGCTTCTTTCCAGTTTACAATTAAGACACTTAATAGATGAAATAGAAAATAAAATTGTTATGTTTGAGACCTATGAATCTAATCAATTTTTATTTATCCCTCTCATACATTTGTAGAAGTGCAAATATGGATTTAAATAATACGTTCCTAAGCCAAATAGATGACGAACCAATAACCAGACGTGGTAAGTGTAACTCTGATATAAATTATAATATTATTTTATTAATTTTTTTTTCCTGTTTTAGATTTAGAAGATTTCAAGTCAGATTTAAAGGGGCTTCTAAATAAAGTGACCGACAGTATCCTAAAAGGAAAATAAATCTTCTTTAGAACTTGGGTTTTCAGCTTATTACACTAGGGCTCTTCACACCAATCTCAATGCTTCGTTACTTAAAAGTTTTATGTATATTAAGTTTTTGTTTTCGTTGGATTTACAAAAAAAACATGTATGTACATACGTAAAACTGTCAAAAAATTACCAACTAACGAAACAACGAGATTGGTTTGGAGACCCTTTACTAATTGTTTTCCATATACTACATATGAGGCCATGAAAGCAGAAGTGGTCTAACCCACTTTTTTTTTGTACAAAGGTACAATGTACCTTTAAATTTATTTATTTTATTTTAAGTATCATATTTTAAACTAGTTAAATTAGTTAAGTACAAAAACAAATTTGTATTCGGCCACTTCTGCTCTGACGACTTCATATATTCGACTAAAATCAAAAGTATTATACCCTGGCACAGTGGTGTGTAGAATATAGAAAACATTTTATGTGAAGAAATGCTATGTACTTAAATACATAATCATATCAAACAAGATCTAATTTTCAGAACACAAAACAACACAAAAACTTGTAAAACGGGTGCTAGAGGAGGTGAAAAGTAGTGCACCAAGAAAAAATGCAGCAGCAGAGCCATCCTTTCGAAAGAACCGTACAAGGCAGTTGAGCAGTTCATGGATTTTGAAAAACGCATACAGTCGTCTGAAAACAAGTTTAATGATGTGGTAGGTTCATAAAAATCCTAAAAATTTAAATATGTTACATTAATACTATTTCGTTAGGTTATTAAACTTCAGTCCATGGTTTGCGGAAATCCCATACGTTTCGTTAAAATGGTGTGGCGAAAAGTGATGAGCGATGATGCTGCCAGGCATTTCTGCTGGAAGCGCATATCAAACAAACAAGCTATTACAACCCCCAGTATGACGGGAGCCCTAAAACGTAACTATTCAATACATGTTTATTTTAGTTTTGATTAATAATTTACGTAATTTTTATTTTAGAGGTCTACAATCAAAAATTTGCCAATTCGACAGACTTTGAAAGAACCAATATGTCCTTTTTTCATCAGGCTAACAACCGCTTAGTGAAGAAGAAACAGTATGGAGAAACTAAAGAAAATGTTCCTGATGTTAATTAAAATTGCTAAATTACTTTCAAGTTTACTCAATTTCGGGCTACGCATCCATAATATTAGTATAAACATGTACAACATATCGACGGCTCATATTCAATATCCCTTCTCTGCAGTTTTCACATAAATGAAATTTTCTGATATAAAAATCCACCTAAGACTTAACTCTCATCGATGTTGTTAATGCTGATCTCCTATATCGCTTGTTAGAAGAATTCGCTATTGAATTTCAAAGTTAAAATTAACATCAGTGATGACAGTTAAGTCTCAGATCGGTTCTAACATCAGAAAGTACTTTTTGTAAAAATTGCGGATAGAGGGTATTGAAAAAAAGCCCTATGTACTTTCAGTTAACCGGCCATACAAATGGATAAACTATTTTTTTCCAGTTTCATTTTTTAATTACATAAGTAATTGAGTGATGACATATTGTGTACCTATTCAATTTTGTGAATCGAACTTTCTTATTTTCTGTTTAGTTAATTTTATAAACGGAATTGTTATTTATGTTAATTTTAAAATTAATTGTTAATTGTATGTTGCGTTTGTTTTAAATCAGCTGAAATATAAGAATGTTTGTGTATTATATATACATATCAGCTGTTATTTTTATTTAATTAAAATAGGAATTTAACTCTAACAAGAAAAGTAAGTTTCCCTTTGAGTCTAGTTGGAGATTCATGTTTGAATTCAAATTGACATCCAAGCTTTTCTCAAGTGGAGAACCAAGATTATTTACGAAAAAAAGTGCCCTTTTGTTGGAGAATAGGTTGGTACTCCAATTGAGGTACAGTTGAAAATTAACATTGGAAATTGGAAAACGAGTTGGATCTCCATTTGATATCAAATCAATTTCAAACCAAAATGTTTATTGGGCTACCACAAGTAAACGCGAGCTGAAAGTGTGATTGTGTTAGTGTGGCAATCAGTGTTGCCGCAAATCTTTTTAGTGGTAGCCGAATTCCTTAAAAAAAGGGCTAAAAAAGAGCTAAAATAAGTCGTTGAGGCTAAAAATGGTAGCTAAAATTTTTTACTTACATACACTGCCGGAACAAAGTATTGGCACAGCAAATTTTTCACAATATATGCTACAATTTTCTTTCTAATATTTTTCCGCTGATTTGGTTCATTTTACAACAAAAAACAGTAAAATATCCTTACTAAATTTTGTGCAAAACTCGCGAAAATTCAGCAAATTTTCGTGAAAATTAGAATTTTTTTGAGTATGCAGATTTGTAGCCCGATCAATTTTATTATAATGAAGTGCAAGTTTTAGGTAGCTAGGAATTACCGTTGATTTTTGGCACGCAGTTTCTAAAAAATCTGATTAAAAAGTGGAAAATGTTGATGAAAATTTGCTGAATTTTCGCGAGTTTTACACAAAGTTTAGGAATTATATTTTTATGTATTTTTTTGTTGAATGAACCATATTTTTATACGAAATCGGCGGAAAAATATTAGAATAAAAATTGTAGCATATATTGTGAAAAATTTGCTGTGCCGCTACTTTGTTCCGGCAGTGTATACATATATAAGTACTAGCAAATACCCGGCGTGCTTCGCGACGCCTCGTGAGTAATTTTGCATCAAAGTTAGCCATTTAGTAGGCCAATTTTTTATGAGTTGAAAAATTCAGGAATGGGTGATTTTAGCACGAGAAATCCAAAACTGATGTCAATTTCGATATGTGACAGTAACTTTTTCCTACAGGGGAGAAAAACCAAGACCGTCTGGAAACGGGCTCGCCGATATACTTACACATATTTTCAGCTTTTTCTTACACAATGTTGACCTACGAACCGGCAATGCCGTCTGCAGATGGTCAAAAATGCAAAACTGGGGTTTTATATGTCGGCAAGCCGGTCTGTAGACGGTCTGTGTTCGAAAGCAATTGCCTCCATTTCGAATGGTGACATAATTATAAAACTTATATTAAAATACGGTGCTTTTAACAACGAAATCACCGAATTTTTTTATATCAAACAATTTTTCAAAAGAAAAAATTTCTTTAATTACGAAATTACTAAATAGAAAGAAATAATTAATTTTAACCGTGTTTTAAAAATCTGTAATTCAACTGCCGATTAAAATAAAACGGATTGACATAACGGATTAAAATTTACTTCGCCGTAAGGGTACGATTTTTGTCATTTAACTATTCTAAAGTATAGTTAAATCATTAGTTAAACTAAACTACAAAAATTTCTATAGAATTTTGTTAGTGTTCACAATTACACAGTTTACACATCAAATGTTTAAAATTTGCTCTAAAAGTATTTTGTTTAAAGTAACGCATATTTAGAGAAGTTACCAGTTTCTTCTCCTAATGTGTGCAAATTTAGACACCGTGCTAATAAAATTAAACACTGCTTGTTTACTTTTGCATACCAAATTTGTCGCGTAGAGCAAAATTACCCATAAAATGTACTTAATTTTTATTCTTAATAGGGAATGTTTTTTTGCGTTAAAAACGTTTGCAATTTTAAACATTTCGTGTGTATATTTTAAACATCTCATGTTCAAAAATCCAGTCTTGAACATCTTATGCGCATACTTGCACAAATTTTGTTTGAAACTAAACACGTTTTTTAGAGTGTGTAAAAAAATTTCGGAACGAACACTGAAGCAGCACTGACAGTAAAAAACGGCACTGTAGAGGTGGGTAACTCAACTCAGAGTTGAGTTATTGAGCTGATTCCCATAAGTGAATGGGTAACTCAGACTCCCTGTCCAAAAAAAATGTAACTCAGCTGATGTCCTAGGGCTCACATGATTCAATTGAATCATTGTGGCTCATATTTGTCCACTTAACTCTCTCACTTCGCCGCAGTGTTTAGCATGAAAAAGAGTCAGCAGCAGTAGCAAAAGAAATGGTCAATATAAATCTCCCTGCTTCGCCACAGTGTTTGGCATGGCAAACTCTTATTTGTATTTTGTTTTTGCACAAGGCGAATTTATGCAAGGTGGTGGGAAAAATATAACAACAACAACCACATTTATTTTGTATTGCGGGTGTTATGTCAGATCTCAATTCTGGCATAAATTTTCAAAATATGAGTCAAGACAAGGCGAATTTACACAAAAAAATTGGCCTTGAGTCGAGACATCACAATCAAAACGGGAACAAGTGCAGTATAGCGGCCGTTGATTTTAATGGTGTAAACCAGAGATGGGCAAATCGGCTCCCAGGAGCCTTTTGCACTGAGGAGCCGGCTTGGTTCATTTAGGAGCTAGATGAAGTGGGAAGAAGAGCGTAATAAAACAGATTGTACTCCGACTCTCATTACTAATGCACAGTGTTGCCAGAACTTTTTGGGCCGACCGGCTAGATTGGCAAAAAAAAGCGGCTAAAAACGGCTAAAATGTTTTAGTGAAAATTCACATGCTTTATTTAAATAAATCGCAAGAAACGAAAGACTAGTTAACACCATTAATTTATATCGAGTGTATATTCCTCATCATCAAATGAATCACTATTGTATATATCACCTGAATTCATTAATTTTAAGAGATCGTCATCTACAGTAAAATTATGGCAGCATTTTTCTTCAAGTTTTAAACCGTATCTTATATATGTATAAAATAGCGTCTAACGTTTTAACGCACATTGGATTTCTTTGCTTAGTTTTTATTACATTCATTGAACTAAATATTCGCTCTACTTCTGCATTACTTATAGGCAAAATAAGAAAACTAAAAACTAGGTTGGAAAGGTCAGCAAAAGGGTTTTCTCCTAGGGCATTTCGAAATTGATAAACTTAAAATTTTACAGTTGAGTCTAAATTACTCCAGGTATGTAACGTTAACCGTTGCCATTGCATCTCTACGGATGTTATTTCGTCGGCATTATATTTGTTTTTGTTGCTGTAGTTGAACAAATACTTTTGGTTTAATTACTCTTAATGCATTTCCAACCGAAAAAAAGTAAATTTTTTTAGTGTGGCAATATTTGAGGGGGGCGTTGGCGTAATTCCTTTATTAAAGTGATAATAAAATAGCGACCATTTTCTCGAATTATTTTCTCGGCTTCGTGGTCAAAAGCGTTTGTGCTTACTTTTGTTTTTAAATACTCTTCAAAACTGTGATAAAACTGAGGAAATGGAGCAAGGTATGGTTCCAACGGGGAGCATATAGGATCAAATGTGTCCGCGCTAATAACCACTAGAGAGGATAGATGCGAAAGTAAAGCATTGAGTTCATTAAAAATCTTCATTGGGTCTGCATTATTGCTTTCGAACAACTTGTTTACTTTTTACACCTGAAAATTAGGCAAATAGTAAAATCGGCTAAAAACGGCTAACTTTTTTTTACAAACCGGCTAACAAATCGGCTGCCGGCTAGATCGAATTTTCTCCGGCTAGTTGCTATCAAAACCGGCTAAATCTAGCCGGAAAACGGCTAAAATGGCAACGCTGCTAATGCAACCATTAAAAGAGAATAAGAACATATGCATACATGTACATTTGTGGTCGCCAAAAGTTAAACTGTGTGACTGTGTTGGTGAGAACAAGAAAAGTGCTCCGCATGTGCAACCTAGTAGGAAATTACGAGATCTAAAACAAAATTTTTAAATTATCAGGCTTCAATAAAACATATAAATACATATATGCATATGGGCATCGCTCATTTACTAGAAAAGTGTCATAACCCAAAAAAAAAGCAAAAACCGTGTTAAGAATGAACGTTACCTCTTTCCCATGATGTGTAAAAATTTGAAAGCTGTAACGATTATCAGTAGCTCACTAGAACAAAATATGTATTAATTTTTACCATGGAGTAGATATATGTAAATTTAAAACTTTAAAGCCGTTTTTCTCGAGTTTTTAGCTTTTTGAGTTAAGATAGTATTGAAGTAAATGAGCGATAGGTATGATATGTACATACATAAAAACTCAAATTAAAAATTTAAAAATTCATTTGGATGCAACCACGTCAAATCATTTCCTGCCACCAAAAGCATTTTCAAGCAAAGTATTTATGTACATACTTATTTCTCGCAAGGCATTTTTGTATTCAAGTAACAAAGCAGAACAGATATGCGGTGACAGGTAATAAGATCAACGGAAATAAGGTCAATTGACTTTATTTCCCACCCTGGTGCGAAATAAAGTCAATTGACATTATTACCATTTTAAAAACGAAATAAAATCAATTGACATTATTTCTCTTTCAAACATTAAATTTGCTTAGCTTCGCGGTGGCCCGCGTCAGCGCGCCACACCGCGCGCGTCGCGCTCGCGCTCGCGCCACGCGTACCCCGCGCGACCGGCGCGCACACCACGTCACGCTACGCCGCGGCCCCCCGGCCCCCCCTTCCCCATCTCCCGACGTGCTGTAACGCAGGTAGATTTATTTTTTGTATACGTTGAAATAAAATTTGTATATGTTTTAAACATCGAGGGCTTATATTCAATAATACC